CCCCACCAGCTGGACTAAGGCTAAAGAACTGGCCTGAGGCCCTACAGAGAGCCTGAGCCACAGCTAGGGCCTGGCTAGAGGCCTGGGAGAGGCCTAGATACCTTTGAGGAGAATTTGAGAACTGGGTGAGGGAAGGGGACGAAGTGAAGAACAGCACTGACAATATTCATCGTAATCACACTGCAGCTTTTCTCTGTGGAGAACGTATTTCCTGCCAGGACCTTTGGAGGATCACTGATCTGCTCAGCAAACATTTATTAAGCCCGGTCCCGTGCCTGGGGCTGGATATAGAAAGTGGTTAAGAAACAACTTTCGGGCTTCCCTGGTGGCGCAGTGTTTGAGAGTCCGCCTGCCGAGGCAGGGGACATGGGTTCGTGCCCCGGTCCGGGAAGATCCCACATGCCACGGAGCGGCTGGGCCCGTGAGCCATGGCCGCGGAGCCTGCGCATCCGGAGCCTGTGCTCCGCAACAGGAGAGGCTGCAACAGTGAGAGGCCCACGTACCGAAAAAAAAAAAAAGAAAGAAAGAAAGGAAGAAAGAAACAACTTTCACCACACGTACTAAGCAATGGGGTGCGTGAAAAGGGAAATCAGTGGACAAAAACCCCTTCAAACAACTCACAGCCATGCTTCCCAGTAAGCAGGCAATTCCCCTTTCCGGAAAACCTCTGCCATGTAAGCAGATTTCTTCTATCCTTGTTCTCCCAGACTCTCCCAGGCCTTCCTCCACTGACCGGAAGTCACATACAGATGCACAGGGTCGCTGAGGCTGGTCTGCTCTCTCTGACACCTGTAGTCTCCACTGTCATTGCTGCTGGCCTTAAAGCTATAGCTGGACTGGTTCTGGCTCTGGATGAAGCTCCCATTATGGAACCACAGGGTGAGGTTGCCTTCACACAGGTTGGTCCCCTGACACATCAGCGTCACGTAATCCTCCTTGAGCACATTGATCCACGCAGGCTGAATGTTCACCACAGCCTTCGGGAGACCTGCTGAGGGGCAGAGAGAGAAGGCGGCGTGAGGAAAGGGACCCCAAGGGCCTAAGCAGACCCCAAATCTCAGATGATGGAAAACTGTGGCCATGCTGGAGACATCAAGAGGGGAACCCAACCCAGAACTCTTGTGCAACCAAAGGCAGTTCCTCCAACTCATGCAGCCCAAACAGGGGCCCCCAGGAACCCAGGTTCTCTCAGGGAGCTTGCCTCCTCCCCAGGGGAGAGGACAAGAGGTAGGGGAATGGGAGAGGGGGCAAGCAAACACACACGCACACGCACACGCACACACACACACACACACACACTACACATACATCCTTTGGGGAATCACTTTCCTCCCCTGTAAGCTGAGGCATTTGGACACTAGTGGATAAACTCTCTCCACAGCTGGAAGAAGACAAATGGGGACATCTGGTGGAGGTGCCAGGCTGAGAGTCAGACACCACGTTTCTGTTCTGACTTCTTCCATTCTTTTTGTTTAAGATGTATTTATTTCTAAATAAAAAGAAATAAATACATTAAAAAAAAAGAATGGAAGGAGTCAGATCAACAACACAAAGGCTGTATTTATTTATCTATTTTTTGGCTGTGTCGGGTCTTAGTTGTGGCATGAGAGATCTTCGTTGCGGTGCGGGATCTTTCCTTGTGGTGCGCGGGCTTCTTTCTAGTTATGGCGTATGAGTTTTCTCTTCTCTAGTTGTGACGCGCAGGCTCTGTCGTTTGTGGCCCGGGGGCTCCAGTTGAGGAACGGGCTTAGTTCCCTGACCAGGGATCGAACCTGCGTCCCCAGCATTGTAAGGCAGATTCTTTACCACTGGACCACCAGGGAAGTCCCCATTCTTTCTCCTTTAGAATTGACCTGTCCTGACACCCAAGCACAGAGGAGTCTCTGTGGCCTCAGAAGAATAAGAAAGAGGAGAAAGGCTGGCAGGCCAGTCTAGGGAGCCCTGCGTTCAGTGGCCCATGTAGAGCCCCATCCCACTACCAGTCCTGGGAGGTGGAGAGGTTAGTGGTGCAGAGGAAGCAGTGCCCAGCTGTGTTCATCCCACCAGAACTGGCGGTATCTCCTATTTGTGTCCAGGGGAACAGGCCCTGAAGCCTACAGATACGTGAAGAGTAAAAGACTTATCAATGCAGACGTAAAGTGAGGAAAATACAACAGCAGCAGAGCAAATGAACTAACGTGTCAGATATGTTATGGGGATAACATAAGCAGATCATGTGATTTTGTATGCAACTGAAACTAAAATGGCCTGGGCTTGTGATTTAGTTTGGAAAGAGGAAGGCGACTGAGACAGAGGACAGTTATATTCTGTGACAGAATCTGTGAGGTCTCACCATAACAGAAGCATAAGGGCTGAGGCACCTGTGCCCCATGGCTGTGCATCCCCGGCTTCCCTGGGAGGAAGGAAAGGGGAGGACATAGCAGGGGGTGGGGCAGGGCATCTAGTGGGAGCAATTACTCTTTCCTGGCTCTACCTCGGTCCTGGATTGCAGGACAGACAGGGTGCAGGGAGCAGAGAGAGAGGGTAGCTGGGGGAGGGAGAGGATGTGGTGAGCAGTTACCAGGTTTCCCAACAACAGGAGCTGTAAAAGAGAAAGCAAAGATCAGCCTGGTGTTTAGATATGATGATTCATCATTATAAATAATCACCTCCTTGCAAATCCCCTTAACTCTCTTGATGGTCTCTGTCTGCATTATGTTCACCTGGGTTCCCATGTCTTTACTTGTTCAGCTGTGTGTTAATGAAATAACCACACAGGGGCCAGATTGGTATCTCTATAAATTTACTGTCTCCATATTCAGAAAGACTAAATTGCCATTGTGACACTTTAGTAAATTTGCTCTGTTGCGCTTGGTCTTTTCTTCACTTCTGTCTGCAGTGCAAGGAGGATGCACGATTCCTCTGGTCCCACAACTGATTCTAGAATTGCCTGGCTTATGTATTCTCTGATCCCCATCCCCTGGATAACCCAGACCCTCCTGTGCTTTTGCCCAGGGGAATCTCCTTTCACATAAAGAGAATAGGCTTCTGCTGCCTGAAGTGGTTTCAGGGGCAAAGAGAACAGCCACTGCCCCCAACCATGTGTTTTATTGCTTCCCCCCACCTCCTATTGGCCTAAGACAGCATTAGTCCTCCCGCCTAAGACATGGTCCCAGTGAAACACAATTTCTAAGGAAGGTAAACACCTTGGCCACTCATTAGTCCTTCAAGTCTAGGTCACTAGACTTTGCTCGCAGCTGGCTCTGCTCTGGCGGGTGGCAGAGCACCAGGGACCTCGGTGCGCAGTGAAATTGGGCAAAAGACTTAAAAAAAAAAAAAGAACTCTGACTGGGCTTCCCTGGTGGTGCAGTGGTTAAGGATCCACCTGCCAATGCAGGGGACACGGGTTCGAGCCCTGATCTGGGAAGATCCCACATGCCACAGAACAACTAAGCCCGTGCGCCACAGCTACTGAGCCTGCACGCCTGGAGCCCATGCTCTGCAACAAGAGAAGCCACCGCAATGAGAAGCCCGCGCACCACAACAAAGAGTAGCCCCTGCTCTCCACAACTAGAGAAAGCCCGCGTGCAGCAAGAAAGATCCAACTCAGCCAAAACTAAATAAATAAGTTAATTAAAAAAAATAAACTCTGCCAATTTCATACTTTGCCAAGGCCAGCAAGGTTGTCAGAATCTGATTTTCATCAGCCTGCCTTCACCCACCTGACTTTCCTGACGTGCTTCCCACACCAGCCCTCATCCTTGCCCAAGCTCAGCCCCAACTGAGGTGACAGCAGCTGAGTTAGAAAAGCATGCCTGCCTCTGTCCCTGCTCCACTGCCCCTCCTGGGGACCCTGCCTCACCGAGGAATAGCAGAACCGTCCACAGTAGCATGTGGTCCAAAGGATGGCAGGATGTGCAGGCAGCTCGGTCACTCCTGGCAGCAGGGAGGGCTAGGAATGTGGGGATCCCCATCACCTCCTGGAGCGAGGAGGTTGCCTCTGACAGCCCAGCAAAGCAGGCACAGACTTCTCTGGAGGCTTGACAGATTCCACCCCAGAGA